TGACACTTAAAATTATCTGCTTTTATGTGTTTTCATTTCACGTGAATATTACAATTTAAAGGACAAACATGTGGGCTTTCATCTTCTAGCCATAATTTCTGTACAAAATACAATACTATAATGACTATAATTATAAAAACATAACATCCTAACTATTTTGGGTAAGTTCGAGTCACTTCAAACACATGCACAATTTTTTCTGAGATATCGTTTGGTAGTTGTTTTTCTAATCCTTGTCTTCACTTCATCGTTCGGAGGTGTACCTGCCAAAGGTTCTCCGATGCTTAAGTTAGTGAGATGTCTGTACGGGAGTTCAGTGTAATGGTATTAAATGCATAGTAAATGTGATCACCTACCTCTTACCTTTGACCTATATTTATAGTTTTTTTGCATGGGCTTGAGATTAGTGAAACCTTAATCACGACCCAATCTCAACCCAATACCTCTAATTACCATTTACCTTAATCTTTGTAGAAAAACCTGTGTATTGACTAAGGTCGGACATCTCTACTGCTGGTTGTTCGGTCTTGCCTACTGTTTTTGCCACGTTCAGTCGCTACTTAACTATTTCCTGTTCTCTAAGGTCGTCTAGCTTGCTAGGTGTGGGGTAAATGTATGGTCGTCTGGGCCATACAATACACTAACTTTGTGACTCTTGCTCTCTGAATACATTAAACACTACCACTCATAATAATTGTCTAATAACTCCTAAATTTGTTCCAATAAAACTCTCTCATCAACTTAAATTTTTACTTCCTTCATCCCAATCAACTTCCTGTATTCATGGAACAATACCACAGGAAGTGGCTTTGTGTACCTGTGAGCAATATACTCTCTAGTTCCCACATGTTCTAACTCCACACTTCCTTCCTTTATTTTTTTCCCTAAAAAAATGAAATTGGACATCAATGTGTTTGCTTATTTCATGATTGACCAAGTTCTTTGCTAGCTTAATGGCTAACCTGTCGTCCACTCAGATCACAATATTCTCTTCTTGCTTCATCTCTAGTGTGCTTAGTAGATTTCTAAGCAAAACAACATGACACACACTCTAAGACACTACAACGTACTCAGCCTCACAGGTTGATAATTGTTAACACATCAGCAAGTGTACCGAATCGTATCAAGTAATATAAAATGGTAAGACCAAGTATCGTATCCCAAAAGACTCACGGCACTAGACAGTCATGTAATACGTTAACTAATTAAGACTTAAGAACAATTTCATTTGTTCAGAATGAAAAAGTGCAAAAAAAGTAAATATGAATGCAATTTAATCAATTGGGACAAGACACAAAAGTGTGAATGGATGATTTTGATAATATGAGATGAGTATGTTGTTGGGGTTTATATTTCACCATCCTTACTCTCATGCATATAAGAATTCATCTTCTTCATTCAATTGTTAATGTCACTATCTAAATTACTTAAAACCCGATCCCTCGACGAAGAAAGCCTATCCTTAATTATTAGACCACAATCCCTTGCATCCCTAATAATTAATTTTTCATTACGAACAATAGCTCAAGACAACCAAACCTCCTATCCCCATCACTAGGCAATATTGCTTTTGGGAGAAATTCTTTAGATTGTGGTTTCTAGGTATTTCCCAATAACAAAGAAGACCATAAAATCATGCCATGAATGATCAAAACATAACAAGCATAGAGCAAAGGAGAAAATCCCTAACAATTAATGAAAAATCATATAATAATTTAGAACAAATTCAAATACATGAGAGTAGGTTACATCTTCCCCAATATCAAATGAGTTTAGTTCTCCATAATCATGGAGAAACTAGGTGTGCAATGGAATGAAAGTGATAGAAAAACCCTAGAAACTGAAGAGGAGAGCTCCCGCATCCAATTCTGCCTCCAGAGAGTGAAAAAATGTGTTTCCGCGTCTCTGCTGCCCAAAGATATCAACCCTATTTGTGGATGCACCTTCACTGAAGGTTTGAGAAACAAAAGCCATTTCAGGATCAACTAATTGATTATACAAACACGGTAATCAATTTGTTTTTCAAATAACTTTTGAAAACCAGCTTTAGTGCTAATTGTTAGAAATAATGAGACTTGTTTCTCAACACCAAGAGGGAGGCGGGGGAGGGGGCGGTGAATTGGTGTTTTTTTAAAAACTTGCACTTTTTATATCTTTTTCGCAAAGTATAAAGTTCTTAAAACCTTTCTTGTGTAGTAAGCAAATATGTGTGCAATGAAACAGTAAATGCAAATGTAAAGAGATAAATGAGAGAAATTCAAACATAGTTTTTATCTTGGTTCGACCTCAATGCCTACATCCAGTCACCCTTCCAATCAACCACTGATTGAAGGATATTTCACTATAATGATTGGAGAATTACACCAAAAAGTAAACACATTTCCTACTCAAACAATCAAATATAGAAACAATTACACCTAGAAACACAACACCCCACGGTCTTGTTGCAGAAACCCTTTGAAAATGCCCTCTTAAAGTCAAGAGCACATCACTCTTCTTCCTGATGCGCACGTCCAGGGAAACAGCAAGTCAAAGATTGCAAATCTTCTCTCCTGATCAATACAGATGCACCTTCAGTCGTACTAATGTGATCAGTCAATGTAATCCACAAAGATGCCTCACAAGAATTCTTCAAGATTCTTCAAACTCTTCACGTTCTTGATTCTTGGAGTGTATTGAGTAATATGTAAACTTTCTAATATCAAAACAATCAAGTATGAAAATGTTAGAATGATCAAAAGTTACAGAAATTCAAACAATGCGTCAATATATAGTTTTCATCAGTTCTGATGCAAAATAATCGATTAGGTTAGTAGTGTAATCGGTTACATAAAAATTGTTGTAACAATATTACAACTAACTCAGCTCTTAATTGAATGTACAATTAATGTAGTCAATTTGCATTAAATTCTTGGTCAAACATTT